GGTTATCTGTTATATATTTTGGAAAATGTTTTATCAATTACTCCAGTGGCTTACCGTACGCATCAGGATAACCAGAATCTAGGCCCGAAGAACGGGGTTAGAACCACCACTTTTCGGCAATCCTGCTGCAGTCATGTAACCACCCCCACAGCTCACACACCCACCAGCATGAACAACCTTGGTTGTCAACGCCAAATGTCCGCAAGCAAATTCTGTTCACGCTTTGAGAATTGGCTATCTTGGTTACTCTGTAGAGCAACCTTTAGACCTACACCGACTAATCCCCATAACACAATGTGTGAACAGCTACAGCACCACAGCAAAACCTGCTAGTCTCACCATCAGACAGCCGCTTTGCCGGAAAGATTTAACTGCACACCAGCACAACTATGTTTCCAGATTAACAGCTAAACTCCGAGTTAAAAATCTGCAAACAGCTAACTGATCAAAACTGTCTCGCCTGACACTGCGAACAACAGCAATCTCCCATGTATCAGCATAGCATACAGGCAATCCATATCGGCAGGATATTAGCTGATAAGAAAAGCAAAAGGCTTAGTTAGATGATAGATTCATGATATATATGTATAAACCAATAAAAACAATGAACAAGTTAAATAAGCGTCAGCAGTCAACGTCGTTCTCTTGATAACGACCGACTATAATGTCGGGGAGAAGAAGGAAGACGATATCGATCGTTCATTCTACGTGGTGACCGCCTGTCACGACCAGACGAGAAAGAACGAGAACGCCGTCCATTACGTCGCGGAGTAACCGATCGTCTGAAAAGTTAAAAGTGAACTCATTTGCGAGAATACAGTTACACAAAAATAGTGATAAATGATGCATGCAAGCGGACACCAATAATTAAAGAGAGAAGTAGAACAAATATAACAAGATAAATTGAAATACAGAGAGAATAATTAACTAGCTATACCTACACTTATTACCAAGTAAAACACAATAATCAATGCACACAGTACACTAAACATATAAAAACTTCACCGTCGGGAAATTCTTCATACAGACTAACAAGCATCCCCATAAAATTGGTTTGCATATAATACGCAAATATTACATAATCGCCACTCATGGTAGGCTAAATCCTAATAGTATACTTCTCATCCACAACGCTTTCTATTTGTCATCTCATCTATATGGGCTGTCCAAATGTCAGGCAATCACCTGGTCAAACCCAAACGAACAATCCCTAATTAATCAAATCAATTTGTATGAAAAACAATTGTAGAAACGGTACTAGAGGCACGTGAATACCATTAGCGACCGTCTACTTCAATATAGCATTTTGGGAGACCAGAACGATATCCTGGTACTATGAAAATGCACAAAAATCTAACATCTGAATATGCAACTTTGTAGGAGAGATTCACAGTAGACAATAGTTTTGCCAACAAATCAATCCTTTCAATATAGCATTCCTAAAACACCCGACTACAGTCAGGCTCTAGCGGAATGCACAAAAAGAATCATGTTTCAATATGTAGAAGCAATTTTAACGGGATGCGATGCACACCGCCAGTGATTGCTACGTTCATTTTGGCATCACTGAAGCACTAGGCTTGTTAACCAGCCTTCGTCAGATGCCATTCACTAAACATCTTTATTATTTGGTTCTACTACATATACGTGTATACTCCAGTTCCTGTTACAGCACTACACACTGACCATTCTTCATAGTTTCACATCAATTCGCCTCCTCACAGGCGTGCAACGGCAACTCTTACAAGATATAACGCGCTCCCCTCAAGAGCCACCAGAAGATTCCTGCAAAATCTAATATCACTTCCGTGACGCTTCGTTAAGCAGGCATAAATCCAACAGACCAAAGCCCATAAATGATTTCATGCCACATCCATTCACGCCACTGAATAAAAACTTCTCCTGCATTTTCCCACTTTCCCATCAACGCCCGCTTACCATCCTTCTTCTATTACTATTTATGTGGTATCCGCCCACAAATTCATTGCTCAATCAAACTGACTTGACGTAAAAAAATAGCAACCTCATTAATCGAAGTCTAACATTTAGCAATTGTACCCTTAAAAAGAATAACACGTTGCACAAATCCGAAAGGCATGATACCCACTTGAAACACAAAATGGATGACAACCAGTTATCAATTCATCAGCTGAGCACAAACAACATGTCACCACCAATACTGTGGGGCACCAACTGTTAACTCTGTTTACTACACAAACACAACAATACATTATTTCATTATCTCACCAATTGTAAAAACACCAGCGCAGCTTCTCTATACATCATCAAAACCTAACTAAGTCCCAACCGCGGCCACAACGCAATTCAACAATCACACCTCAACAACGGTCCTCCTCCTACCAATCGTACAACTCAGTGCAGTGAGACGTCACTGAACGTGACTCAGAATAAAAGCCAGTTGTGATTATTCGGTAGTCCTATTTGACGTTCCTCCGAAACTTGAACTGTATCTCTTAAAGTCCTCATTCTCGTCGTGACTACAGGACTTCCCCAGCCATTTTGTCTTTTTGAACACCTATCTTCACTTCGTATCATCTGGTGCGTTTCCTAGCGCTCAATTGTACCAAACACGTTACGTGTCACAAATAAATAATACGAGCAACATACACATAATCAAATCTGCACAGACACCCACTTGGATGAAAGAAGGTTAATTCCCAACAAATGAACGACTATATGACTCAGTAGAAACTTATAACCAACTAACATCACTCTACTACATTGAACCCGAGTGAAAACTGCACGATACTTACAAGTGGTTGACACCATCACTCAAACTAACAGTCGGTAGGACAAACACATAATTTTCCCCACTCCCTTCTTCGATTCACGATCTCGCGTGTCGAATTCGCCGACTTATACACCAACAAAACAATTCCTGATCAACGTGAAACACATGAACGCACAATGCAAATTCTTGCGAAAATCTAACACTTCTCTTGCAGCACAATCCAAAACAAAATTTTAAACACATGCATACCTGCCTTCATTAACCTAACAGCACTTCGGTTCATATACACAAACCGTCTGACATATTCATTATTCACCTAACCCTATCGGTGACTACACTAATGACCACACCTAACTACAACCGACCTGAACACATCCCTATATAATAACACCGAGTTAGATAGAACCACTCAATGCTAAACTAAACAATATTAGACATCGTCCACATCACTTGCGGCTATCAAACAATAGTTTGTTCAGCAACATTTGACAGGCAAACGCTCAATCAGATCACATATAACACCATAGACACCTCATTACACTTTAGGCGCAATACACTTAACATTGGAGCAGTCAGTCACACCCCACTTACATGTCATTGTAACAACTGGCACTCATATGCAAGCAACATTATCGAATCACACTCTGCACAATTTAGGGTGAGTAAATCCCATAAACTGATTGAACTCAGAAGAACAATCCCCAATCAATCAAATCAATTTGTATGAAAAATAATTGTAGAAACGGTACTAGAGGCACGTAAATACCATTAGCGACCTTCTACTTCAATATAGCATTTTGGGAGACCAGAACAATGTCCTGGTACTATGAAAATGCAATACCAATCTCCAACCAGGTTTACAGAGACTCGTAATAAACATAAGTACATGCTACTGCAAAAACTCTAGGATGGGAAACGTCAATGACTATTGTTTATTTTAATCTAGCACTGACCGAAACTAGAACCATACACACACTCCACACAACACCCTATAGGGAACAAACAATGTAGGAGCTATTCGGGAAGCAAAATTGCCTCCACAAATACCCTCCTTTTAATGTAGCATCCTTCTGACACCCGACCAGAGTCAGGCTCTAATAGAATGCGAGGTGAATTCCAACCACATTTCTAAATCTAACAAAACTGTTCGCAACCAGTACACGACTACACAATCCGGATACGTGAGTCAAGCTTACACTTACCAAACCAAAGATATCACATAGAACACAAACAATGGAAACCCTAGTAGCCGAGAAACAATTTTGCGCAGTCTACTATTTCATACTTAGGCGACTGGTGCTGCAACTGCGTAATAGAAACATTAACGACAAATAAAAGATGAACAAAAGTAAACCTTCTAGACACCATCTATCTTTCCAATCGACACTTAATACCGATGTGCATCGTCGAAACAACCAATTTATCCCAACACAATACACCATTGTGATCACTGACTTGTCTCGACATTTATACATGCAATCTCTATATATCTATGATACTTCGTTACGTTCAGTGCTGGAAACCCATTTGACAATTTATCCTGAAGAGATCACCTCACAGTCAACACCCGAACATGAAACCGACACATCAGTCAAGAAACACTGTGCTAAGCACCTGTTCTTTGTTGGTGACATACAACAAACTGTCCTCGTAGACAAACTCCAGTCTGATCTTTATTCGATGGAATATAGCATTTACACACTTCCAAAATAGATATATCCCACCATCTTTATCGATGCTCAAGCCAGTTCGCATAAAATTCCGTTAAATTTAGATTAAGAAACTAAAGAGCATCAACATTTAAATACATAAAGCATACTATCAGGCTGCTGGATAAGCCATCAGACACACGAAGACCTCCTTAAACTAAGCATATGAAGTATGTAGTGTAAACCACTTATTAAGCACAGGCTTATAAACTCGACTTTCAGTCGCACTGTTTATGTGAAAGCTAATGATACTAACCGAATTCCCCAAACCGAGGTAGGTGAGGTGGGGTTAGAGCCCGCAACTTATCGGTTGATATATACCTACAACACTGAAACAACCATGTTCAGCGCATTGTCAAAACATTGCATTGGAATCACGACGACTAATACGATACAATACAATACGTTACATACCCAACGCACAATAGAAGGCAGACGTGAAATGCCTTACCGAAGGCGCAAATTCTTCGGACACTTCATAATACGGTTATCTGTTATATATTTTGGAAAATGTTTTATCAATTACTCCAGTGGCTTACCGTACGCATCAGGATAACCAGAATCTAGGCCCGAAGAACGGGGTTAGAACCACCACTTTTCGGCAATCCTGCTGCAGTCATGTAACCACCCCCACAGCTCACACACCCACCAGCATGAACAACCTTGGTTGTCAACGCCAAATGTCCGCAAGCAAATTCTGTTCACGCTTTGAGAATTGGCTATCTTGGTTACTCTGTAGAGCAACCTTTAGACCTACACCGACTAATCCCCATAACACAATGTGTGAACAGCTACAGCACCACAGCAAAACCTGCTAGTCTCACCATCAGACAGCCGCTTTGCCGGAAAGATTTAACTGCACACCAGCACAACTATGTTTCCAGATTAACAGCTAAACTCCGAGTTAAAAATCTGCAAACAGCTAACTGATCAAAACTGTCTCGCCTGACACTGCGAACAACAGCAATCTCCCATGTATCAGCATAGCATACAGGCAATCCATATCGGCAGGATATTAGCTGATAAGAAAAGCAAAAGGCTTAGTTAGATGATAGATTCATGATATATATGTATAAACCAATAAAAACAATGAACAAGTTAAATAAGCGTCAGCAGTCAACGTCGTTCTCTTGATAACGACCGACTATAATGTCGGGGAGAAGAAGGAAGACGATATCGATCGTTCATTCTACGTGGTGACCGCCTGTCACGACCAGACGAGAAAGAACGAGAACGCCGTCCATTACGTCGCGGAGTAACCGATCGTCTGAAAAGTTAAAAGTGAACTCATTTGCGAGAATACAGTTACACAAAAATAGTGATAAATGATGCATGCAAGCGGACACCAATAATTAAAGAGAGAAGTAGAACAAATATAACAAGATAAATTGAAATACAGAGAGAATAATTAACTAGCTATACCTACACTTATTACCAAGTAAAACACAATAATCAATGCACACAGTACACTAAACATATAAAAACTTCACCGTCGGGAAATTCTTCATACAGACTAACAAGCATCCCCATAAAATTGGTTTGCATATAATACGCAAATATTACATAATCGCCACTCATGGTAGGCTAAATCCTAATAGTATACTTCTCATCCACAACGCTTTCTGTTTGTCATCTCATCTATATGGGCTGTCCAAATGTCAGGCAATCACCTGGTCAAACCCAAACGAACAATCCCTAATTAATCAAATCAATTTGTATGAAAAACAATTGTAGAAACGGTACTAGAGGCACGTGAATACCATTAGCGACCGTCTACTTCAATATAGCATTTTGGGAGACCAGAACGATATCCTGGTACTATGAAAATGCACAAAAATCTAACATCTGAATATGCAACTTTGTAGGAGAGATTCACAGTAGACAATAGTTTTGCCAACAAATCAATCCTTTCAATATAGCATTCCTAAAACACCCGACTACAGTCAGGCTCTAGCGGAATGCACAAAAAGAATCATGTTTCAATATGTAGAAGCAATTTTAACGGGATGCGATGCACACCGCCAGTGATTGCTACGTTCATTTTGGCATCACTGAAGCACTAGGCTTGTTAACCAGCCTTCGTCAGATGCCATTCACTAAACATCTTTATTATTTGGTTCTACTACATATACGTGTATACTCCAGTTCCTGTTACAGCACTACACACTGACCATTCTTCATAGTTTCACATCAATTCGCCTCCTCACAGGCGTGCAACGGCAACTCTTACAAGATATAACGCGCTCCCCTCAAGAGCCACCAGAAGATTCCTGCAAAATCTAATATCACTTCCGTGACGCTTCGTTAAGCAGGCATAAATCCAACAGACCAAAGCCCATAAATGATTTCATGCCACATCCATTCACGCCACTGAATAAAAACTTCTCCTGCATTTTCCCACTTTCCCATCAACGCCCGCTTACCATCCTTCTTCTATTACTATTTATGTGGTATCCGCCCACAAATTCATTGCTCAATCAAACTGACTTGACGTAAAAAAATAGCAACCTCATTAATCGAAGTCTAACATTTAGCAATTGTACCCTTAAAAAGAATAACACGTTGCACAAATCCGAAAGGCATGATACCCACTTGAAACACAAAATGGATGACAACCAGTTATCAATTCATCAGCTGAGCACAAACAACATGTCACCACCAATACTGTGGGGCACCAACTGTTAACTCTGTTTACTACACAAACACAACAATACATTATTTCATTATCTCACCAATTGTAAAAACACCAGCGCAGCTTCTCTATACATCATCAAAACCTAACTAAGTCCCAACCGCGGCCACAACGCAATTCAACAATCACACCTCAACAACGGTCCTCCTCCTACCAATCGTACAACTCAGTGCAGTGAGACGTCACTGAACGTGACTCAGAATAAAAGCCAGTTGTGATTATTCGGTAGTCCTATTTGACGTTCCTCCGAAACTTGAACTGTATCTCTTAAAGTCCTCATTCTCGTCGTGACTACAGGACTTCCCCAGCCATTTTGTCTTTTTGAACACCTATCTTCACTTCGTATCATCTGGTGCGTTTCCTAGCGCTCAATTGTACCAAACACGTTACGTGTCACAAATAAATAATACGAGCAACATACACATAATCAAATCTGCACAGACACCCACTTGGATGAAAGAAGGTTAATTCCCAACAAATGAACGACTATATGACTCAGTAGAAACTTATAACCAACTAACATCACTCTACTACATTGAACCCGAGTGAAAACTGCACGATACTTACAAGTGGTTGACACCATCACTCAAACTAACAGTCGGTAGGACAAACACATAATTTTCCCCACTCCCTTCTTCGATTCACGATCTCGCGTGTCGAATTCGCCGACTTATACACCAACAAAACAATTCCTGATCAACGTGAAACACATGAACGCACAATGCAAATTCTTGCGAAAATCTAACACTTCTCTTGCAGCACAATCCAAAACAAAATTTTAAACACATACATACCTGCCTTCATTAACCTAACAGCACTTCGGTTCATATACACAAACCGTCTGACATATTCATTATTCACCTAACCCTATCGGTGACTACACTAATGACCACACCTAACTACAACCGACCTGAACACATCCCTGGTACTATGAAAATGCAATACCAATCTCCAACCAGGTTTACAGAGACTCGTAATAAACATAAGTACATGCTACTGCAAAAACTCTAGGATGGGAAACGTCAATGACTATTGTTTATTTTAATCTAGCACTGACCGAAACTAGAACCATACACACACTCCACACAACACCCTATAGGGAACAAACAATGTAGGAGCTATTCGGGAAGCAAAATTGCCTCCACAAATACCCTCCTTTTAATGTAGCATCCTTCTGACACCCGACCAGAGTCAGGCTCTAATAGAATGCGAGGTGAATTCCAACCACATTTTTAAATCTAACAAAACTGTTCGCAACCAGTACACGACTACACAATCCGGATACGTGAGTCAAGCTTACACTTACCAAACCAAAGATATCACATAGAACACAAACAATGGAAACCCTAGTAGCCGAGAAACAATTTTGCGCAGTCTACTATTTCATACTTAGGCGACTGGTGCTGCAACTGCGTAATAGAAACATTAACGACAAATAAAAGATGAACAAAAGTAAACCTTCTAGACACCATCTATCTTTCCAATCGACACTTAATACCGATGTGCATCGTCGAAACAACCAATTTATCCCAACACAATACACCATTGTGATCACTGACTTGTCTCGACATTTATACATGCAATCTCTATATATCTATGATACTTCGTTACGTTCAGTGCTGGAAACCCATTTGACAATTTATCCTGAAGAGATCACCTCACAGTCAACACCCGAACATGAAACCGACACATCAGTCAAGAAACACTGTGCTAAGCACCTGTTCTTTGTTGGTGACACAACAAACTGTCCTCGTAGACCAACTCTAGTCTGATCTTTATTCGATGGAATAAAGCATTTACACACTTATGTTTTCTTAATCGATACTGAATACTGACGTGCTGAGATATTCCTAACTTTGGCTATTATTCAGTGGAGTACAGGAATTATATGCTTCCGTAATTTATCTATGCCAGTATGTTAATCGATTACCATTCCACTCCTTTAAAATCGCGTCGACTTTTTAGCAGGGAAGTTGTGATATCGACATTTAAGTACATATAATAGCATCTCGTGTGGGAATATATACTACTTTTTATCGATATTACCGAGATTTCATGGATGATTTCTAGAATAATTTCGAATCCAATTCTTTTCGTTAGGTCGCTATAAACGCGAAACGAAATGTAACTTGTGACTTAGGGTAATGTACACAAAAGCAGTTTTAACAAAATGATTCTTACCTTCGACGGTTTGGAGTTGGTCGACCATATTTTGCTCTTTGGACTCGGACTTCTCTTCCATCTACCTTATGGCCATCCATACCGCGTATGGCACAGTCAGCCTCGCGGTCAGTGCAGTATCGAACGAAAGCAAATCCTCGACTCTCGAAAGTGTAGGGATCTCTAGGTATGTAGATATCACCTGTGACGAAAGGTGCATAAATGAAGTTTCACAAGAGGGCGTGTTTTAGGACACGCGTTACTTACCAACTTCGCCAAATCGGCTGAAAACTCTTCGCAAGTCATCAATAGTTGTTCTGTATGCCAAGTTATCAACTTTCAACGATACCATCCCATCGATTCTTGGTGGAGATCGACCGTACCTGTTCATAACTCAGAGTTCTGAAACCGGATATCAATGACTAGTGACCTAGCTAACTATTGATAAAAACAAGGTCATGCTATAAAGCATATTGAAACATATTTCGGTACTTTCTTGTAATATGGTCTAAAGAATCCTGTAACTCGAAACAGATCGCTATATCGGATGGTTAAGGATGGAATACTGAAAACTGTCGTTTGACGAGCCTTCATGTCCATATACCTATATCCCCAGATTGAGATCTAGGTACATAGTACAATTCCTAAGAGTGCATGAAGTTCACTCCTAAAAGACTCCCTTGGACGGATAGTAAAGAATCTCAAGACTCGACAACTTGCAATGAGTAGAAGCTGTCTGTACTGTTTGGTACAAACATTAAGTTCACGCATCAGTATACTTATTCGTAATAGGACGCCTGACAGAACATACGAATGTCAAATGCAATAATTCAGTTCCATCGACCAAATTGACCTCAGTGGGGCGATTAATTCGAAGGCCTTATATGGGTATCTTTATGGTGTTCCTTTGTTTGTTTATTTGTCTATCCATAAGTTATATTCCACCATTATATTGATCTACAAACATTTCAGACGCGTTGAATAAGTAACAGACTGAGCTGTTTGTACTCTTTGTTGCAGTACAGACTAAACTACTATAATGAAATCCTGGGTTCCATTTTATTACAATATCCTATTTCCGGTGTTTCCCGATTGTTAGTGACTATAGAACCATGAATGTAGTACTGTCCTGACTTCTTTAGAATAGATCAAGTTTCCTCCCCCTGAACTAACTTAGCTAATGGCAAGCTCCAAGGCCTAACTACTCATGAAGAGTAGAAGGTGGGCTATCTCCTTAGCTTTCTGTTTTCCGCCTCTGATTTATGGGTGGCCCCCTAAGATATTGTCCTAACACAAAGCATTTGTAAGCATCTTTTTTAAAAAATGCATCAGTGTTTAGGGCGCTTCATGGTACTAAAAGGTCGCCTATGAGTCACGTATAATTAAATAAAAAAGGATCCAGCGTTTTAACGCATCCTACATAAAGCGTGGGCTTGAGTTTCCAATTTGGTTGCGTGATCAGTTTGTGTATATGATCTACTGTATTCTTAACCACTCTAGAGTTGTGGTGAAAACGCTATATTTTCATAGTTAGGCTGAATGTAACTTGAAAATCACACAGAAAGTTGTACTTTCGAATCAACCACAATGTACTTCAAAATTACCGGTATAAGGTTTACTCTAAGGGCTTTTCATCACAATTAGCACACGATCTTAGATCATAGGAAGTCAAGACGCCTAAATACGTCCGCTCAACAACACTTCTATAAATACATTGCCTATGTTGCATGTGTAGTCTGTTCCAAATGCCAAATGAACTACTTTACACTTTGAAGTTAAAGTTGGTCCATTAAATTTGAGTCACCTCCTACTGAGGCACTATCTTATTATTCTGCTAGCAAACTTATCTGCAAAACTCCGAGTCATCAGTAAAGCAATCATTCAGAAGATAACCACCGGAAAAGATCACTTCTATGAATTAGAAAGGTCCTAGTGCGGAGTTCTTGAGGACCCTAATAAAGCATCCTATAGCCCGAAACAGTTAATAATTAATCCTGAACTTAATGAGCCAATTATTTAGGTACTACTTTACCCACCTTATAATTGGTAACTGAATACCTGCATGTTTGAACTTATTGACAAGATATGAATGATTGTCTCGAAGTACTCATAATGCATTAGCTTCACCCTGTCCTTACGACCGAGTATGTTACTCCATCCACCAACCATTACCAGAAAATTTATGATTGTATCGCGATCTTTCCGTAAACCTTGTTGTTTCATTTCTAGTTTCCACCTGGGAGGGGTTTTGGGACGCATGGCTTGTAATAGTCCTGACTATAAAGGTGTCGCAGTTGGCTCGACTTTCTTTTTAACGCGCTCAAAAATGGAACTTCAACCACGTCTTCAGATAGATAGTTCTGCCTGTTGATGATCACGCGGGAAAATTGTTAATCACCTAACAAGTAAATTTTTCTGTTTGAGAACTTCTTTGAGCATCTTTACAAACCCTCGATTTTTGTAGATAAAACGGGACGGCACGTCACACACACTGGGAATGTTTGGTCTAGTCAGCCTATACGCAGCAATAAATGTGGGTTGAGACAACCGGTGCAGCAGCAGCCTCCTAAACAGTAGTGTTATAATGCAGAGTTGGAGGACACCAACAAGTCCGTGGGCAAGAGTACATGTAGATTTCGCCGGTCCCATAAACGCGAAACAGTACTTGGTGATTGTTGATGCCTTCTCAAAACGGCCAGAGGTCCACTACATGAAGTCTCTTTCGACAAAAGCTACTATCAAAAAACTGAGACAAGTATTCAGCTGCTTTGGGTGTCCAGATGTATTGGTGGCTGATAATGGACCATAGTTTACCTCCACTGAATTTTCGAAGTTCTGAGTCGCCAACGCCGTCAGGCATATAAAGACACCAACATACCACCCGCAGTCAAACGGTCTAGTCGAGATGTTCGTTGATACGTTCAAAAGAGCACTGCTTAAAGCCTAGGGAGAAGGGGTAATAGAAGAGATGATTCGAAGATTTCTACAAACCTACCGAGCAACACACAATCCAGCAACAAATAATCAAGAAAGTCCAGGAGAAACAATTTTGGGAAGAAAGAATAGAATACCTATAGAGAAAATGAAACGAAAACCTAGAACCAACCTCCGCAAGAACAAACGAATGGAACAGCAATTCAACAGGCCGCATGGTGCACTATCCAGAAGGCTTAAGGTGGGACAAGCGGTAATAACAAGAGATTTCACGGCAGTAAAGCCAACCTGTAAGTTTGGCATAATAATACGGAAAAAGGGAAAGTTATATACGAAGTCAAAGTTGGACAAAAGATATGGGTGCGACATGCAAGCCAGATACAAGCAACCAGACAAGAGCGGGAGACAGGAAATGCTATAAAGTCGAATATACCAATAAATATACTAACTGAGTCGGGTAATGAAATTAAAAATGACTCGAATAATAACAAGACGTATACAACAGTCCCAAGGAGGTCGCAGCACATCAGGCGGAAACCTAATCGAATAAAAATAAATCCTAAGGATCATTATTATCTCTAATGCTTCAAAAAAGGGAGGTCTTATAACCCAGTGAAGATTAAGTTACAGGTAACTTCCGAGGACTGTTAACAGACTAATATTCTATAAATATCTTGTTGTATAATTATTCAATAATAACATTATGTGTATTTATATTCCCCTTATTATAAGCTTTATTTTGACCTATAATTTATTACTATATGATTTACGGTTCTTGATCTATGTTCAGTCTATTAATTACCATCTCCCACGTTCACAGCCACTTTCTGGCTTATTTGTGTACACATGTTATTTTCTATTTTATGGTACGTTGTGGTCTGTCTGATTGGTATATGAACAAAGTATGTTTGAAATACATAACTCATATTGCGGAAGCTGGTATTGTGTTTTTTTGGACTCAAGCAGACGGGCTAGAAGGACCTCGGACCAACAAGGAGCTAGACTGCCCACACCGGTTGAACGTCATTGGTTGACATGGAGTAAAGATTTGTATAAGTCGTATTCTGATTGGTTGATAATTCGCGTGGTAGAGAGGCCAGACACCAGGATCCTAACAATTAGGACACATAATGCACAAGGAAAAGAGAAAGATCATAAAATACAACACAACGGATAGCAAACGAATCGCACTTGATGGACGGTCTCTTGAAGAGGTGAAAACTGTGATAGTTTTAAGTATTCGAATTTAAGTAAAAACTAAGAATCCCAGAAATAAATCAATCTAACCAAGAAGTACTGGATCAGCACGAACGAACGTATTGTATTTAGAATTCAAAATCAGACAGTCATCAAGTGCAAATGAATCATTAATCCATACAAATACCAAATCCGCCACAGCTTAAACGAGATTTCTAATCTGTGTGATCAGTCGTACATCTTCTCCTTAGTTTCATAATGTGACTGTCCGATTGTGTGTTGGATTTAGACTCCGTATGATCAGCATTCCTACAGTTGGAGAACATAGTGAATTCTAAACAACTGTCAACCAATATCAAAGTGATAATCTTCAATACGAACATCAAGGCAGTTCTACTGTACGGAGCTGAAACTTGGAGGACTACACCAACCATCATCAAGAAGGTGCAAGTATTTATAAATAGTTGTCTACGCAAGATATTCAACATCCATTAGCCGGATACCATCAGCAACAGCCTTCTGTGGGAGAGAACAAACCAGCTTCCAGCTGAAGAGGAAATTAGAAAAAGACGATGGGGGTGGATAGGACATGCATCATGGAAACCATCAAACTACATCACGAGGCAAGCCCTAACGTGGAATCCTTAAGGGAAGTGGAAAAGCGTAAGTTCGAAAAACACATTACGTCGGGAAATAAAAGCATATATGAAAAGGATGAATAACAACTGGAAGGAGCTAGAAATGATTGCCCAGGACAGAGTTGGATGGAGAATGTTGGTAAGCGGCCTATGCTCCTTCACGAGGAGTAACAGGCGTAATTAAATAAGTAAGTCATACCCATTAGCATAATCTTGGATTCCGTTTGAATCTTCTGTCTGTGCAAACTTCATATCTGGAACAACTGGTCCTCTAATTCCTTCGGGAAAAGTTTCTATTCCCTCTGATTCATCATACCGCTGACTAGGGATCCTACTCAACATACATTGGTTGTGAGAATATCCAACATATGACACAATAAAATCAGGAATGTGACTTGAATTAAACTCATTCGGAACATATATGTCACATTCATTAGGGCTATAGTTGAAGCTGAACATATGATTTAAATCACTTGGTATATTTTACTTGAATCTGTAGAATTATGGTCTACTATGATATTAGTACTGCTCTAATAATAGACCTAATCCTAAATTTGTAGATTTGTCATGATATAACTGCCTAATCTGTAAGACCATACGTGGAAGTCACACCATCGACTACGCCAACTCACTGTATCGTACCAATTACCAATACATGA